ATTATAAATATAAAAATGCTGCAACATATATCGAGATGATAATGACGGTGCACGTGATTTAGTATGAGTTGACATATTTTCATGACAAATTTCATTTCCGACAAATGTTGGTACGGCCTTTAATATTCGATGACAAGCAATGGAAAGCGCGCGCATCAAAGAGCGATTTAGTGTTCCTGTTTGGGCGATTCAGCTGAAAAAAGAAAAACCTTAGACTACTGTAATTGAAGCAACGAGTTTGTCTTTTCTTTTTTTATTTTTTTTTATCGTATGACCTCGTAAGTTTAAAATAGTATATTTTCTAGTAGCGTTGAAGCGGCAAGAAATGAGATCTCTTCGGTAATGTCAAATATTATTTTCCATGAAATTAAAATCTTTACACAGATTATGGATGCTTATCGATTAAGAAGCTAAACTTTCAGATTAATTTGATATTTTACCGATATAATATAAACAATAACAACAATAAAGATAACAATAATAGTAAGAATGGCCAGATTAATAGTAGCAACAACGATAATAACGATAATAATAATAATAATAGCACGAAAAATAAGAACAGCTGCTCTTATTATCATTATAATAATTATTATTATCATTAACATTATCATTATCATCATTATTATTAGTAGTATTATTATTATTATTATTATTATCATTATTGTCGTTGTTGTCGTCGACGTTGTATTTGTTGTTGTTGTTACTGTTATGGATAAAAAGTACTTTAAATTAAAACGTTTTAGCACAACTTCGATTAACGTTAAAGAGTCGCGGGGAAAGTGCGAATCGGTGAAAATTGATCCGCGTCTCGATTTATTGCGCACAATAAAAGACGCGTCGACAGATAATTGAAATTAATCGGTCATTTTTCCTCCGGCATCAGAATGCGAAATAGAGCACTTTTATCGGCTTAGCTATGATTTCTTGGCGTAAATTACAGATAAGGATAATTTAAAAGTGTGGCGCGATTCGCCAGTGCCGCTGCTACGCGTCTACCATTCGTCGTATTCTCGTAGATAATACGTCGCATAAGTGTGCGCGATGATAAAATTGATGCTGGCGTTGAAAGAGCCGCGGAGAGAGAGAGAGAGAGAGAGAGAGAGAGAGAGAGAATTCAATGAGAGGAGAAAGCCCGACAGTTCCGTGGAGAGGCAGCAGAGTCTCGTCGCTGCTGCTCCCGCGATGCACTGCACGCACACCCGCGCGATCCAAAAAGCGGAAAATCGGCGCGGAAAATCGACGCTGAGCGAGGGGAAGACGGCTTACGGCGGTGGAGGGGGGTAGCCTAACGTAGTCGACGAGGCTTACCGGAACCGCTGTCAGGGCTGTAGAGGTTGGCGAGGGAGGGGGAAGCCGGACTCGATATCGCCCCACACATCCCATTTCCACGACTCGACTCGTTGCTGCCGTTCGGCCGCAGTCCCGAGCGGCCGCCCGACGCGGCCCGACGCCGTCGCCGACGCCGCGATTATGAACGCGTTCCGCTCAAGCGGTCTCTACCAGATGCGTCTCAGTGGCGAGGAGTCGAGGAGGTCGCGCGCCCGGATCTTGGCCGCCCGTTCCCTCGATTCCACCGTCCTCAGCCCACACCGACTCGACGACACCAGCAATCGGTAATGCCGAGTGGTCTCGCAAGGAGGGCCACTTAAATCGAGTGCCTCGCACCGCCTCCTGGGGATTTTAACGGGAGTCCGCGCGATGAAGTATTGTTACACAATGTTCGCGGCGTTTTTGTCCAAGTCTTTCAGCAAGTCTTTTATGTATTGGCAAAAGCTGGTAGTTTCGTAACGAGTGTATGTATGGGTGTGAGTTTCGGTGGGTGTGTTGGGGGGGGGGGATTATGGTGGTGATGGTGGTTGTTAGACCTACTACCGGTGTTTTGCAGCAATTGAATTTTAAAGTTTTCGTGGGTATTACTATCTATGGAAAATGGCGAGCCCGTTTCTTAAACTGGGTTTACAGTGACACGAAGCAAAGTCAGTTATTTGAATGTAATTAGTAGAATTGGCGAATGGACGGAGGCTAGTGCAATAACCTTAAGTAGTTGTTGAAAATATTTCACAAATGACTTACGAAACATTAGACATTTTGTAACATGTACCTTTTGTACTCGTCACTTTTTCTATATTTGGCTCTTGTCAGTGGCAGTAAACTATGCACGGACGATAATTTTCGAAAATTGTTTGGAATCTTTTATTTTTTGTAATGTGTACCTTTTGCTAATTTTCATATTTGTTCGCATTTTTGTTCACACTTTTACAACTTTAGACGCTTTCAGAGATTAAGCATTCTGTCTTTATATGATTATTGAGTATATAATGCATATCTTGAAATTTACATTTGATTTCATGAAGTTTTTTCAATCAATATTACAATTTAAATTGCGAAAATGTTTTTAAAAAAACTATCGCGATATGTAGATAATAATTGTCAATTATATAAAATTTCGTCAAAGAAAAGATTTGCAAACGAATGAAAAATATCCGAGTTTAAACACTACGACTACTAACAGACTCTTGGTTAATTTTGGTTAAGTGAAAGTCAGGCAAGAAATTGCATCTAGTTGCACACCTATGTTAAATTCAAGAAAATCTCAACAAATCGACAAAATACAAGAAATAATAATACATAAATGACGTTTAAATTTCCATTATTTGTAGGTTTTGATTTGATGTTGATTTTTGAATCGTACATTCGCAGAGAATTTTTGGGATACGGAACAAAATTATATTTAATATTGAAAATTTCATAAATTTAATTTCATAAATCTTAAAATATATGGTAGAGAAAAAAAATCAATATGTCGTTTAAGCAAACGCATTCTACTTATGTCAAAATGTATTTTACTGCATCGATCAAACAAAATAAAATGAATAATTTTATAACTTTTTACATCGGCAAGTTTGAAACAAATATATTATTCACCGGAATACGATTTTTTTTCATTTAAAATATTTATCACAATTATTGAATCAAAACAATAATTTTTAAGACCATCTATTAAATAAATATTGGTATTTTTATTTATAAATATAACGGCACTGATAATAATAATAAAAATTATTATGATGACGATGATAATTTTATTGTTTCTCGGTAAAGTCGCAAATTTCCGTATGCTGTTTCACGTTTTATTTTGGTTTGCAAATTTAAATTTATATGAAAATTTTATAAGTAATATATAATTATTAATAATTCTTATTAATTTTTTTTAGATAAAATAATTTTGATATATTGTTTAATAGGATATCATCGACGATATATTCTATTTCATACATTCATTTATGAGTTTTTATAAATTATCTTTTTAATTTTAAATCTTTTTACAATATGAAGTAAATAATATCGTGATACTAATTGTCTGTCAAATGGAACAAGTTTTTCAAATTAAAAGTCTTAAAATCGTTGATTTTGTAAATGAGAATAAAACGAATTGGTATATTTTTTGTATTCCGAGGAACAACATTAACCGTTTGTTAGTTCGAAAAATTTTATTCCTAACGTAACATTAATGAAAGTCTTGGTTAATTGAAAAATTAATTGAAAAATTTGAGAAATTATTTTATTAAAAATATGTGATAATTATATAGCGTAGCTCGGATTATCCTGGCTAAACGTAAAAGATTATTTATCAATATATTATTCTGTTTAGAACTAAAAATTCATTAAATTTTGTACAGTTATTGTGTTACGTGCCGCCTACACAATTATTAAAGATAGTATCACGCAAAAGGAACATTCTATTTTTTATTTACAGAGGATACTCAAAGTAACAAAAGATGCCGTAATATTTAATACTAAATTTGTTTGCGAATAAATTATATTAATACGTCATAGCTCATTTTCATAGGTTTTCATTCCAAGTACACGATAGCACGAAATTTAATGGAATAATTAAATTGAAAATTATAATCGCTTTCCGCACTTAGATATAAAAGACAAATTTTATAGCTCTCGAGTAATTTTCAAATGATATTATTATAAAATTTATAATTTGTGACTCAGCATTGACTGTTTTATTTTTTAAAAGCATTGTGCGTCTCGAGACGTAAATGAATACGTAGAGCATCCAAATATAATAAAAACTGTGCATGTATTGATGCAACTATTATTATAGTTGTATAATTTTGTCCTTATAGAATGAACAGAAGGTTTAGTGGTATTAATGAGAATATTATGAAGATAAATTATTTAAATTTGTCTAATCGCACGTTCGTCTCAGAATAAAGATGTCTCAGGGCGTTTATTGACATTATTTAAAATTTTCATTGTTATCCTAGGGCACTATGAACGATTATAATAGGGCAGACTTGCAGTGATTAGGTAAGCAAGTAAATGTCGATTCCCTTAAGAAATTATTAGTGTTTACGATCAGTAAGGCGAGGCTCCTGGATTTGCCGGTTGCAATGATAGTTCCACTTAGGATCACGAGTGCGCCCATGGTCACGCGTATTGCACGCCCACCCATTATCGTTTAAGGCCACAACTACCTGAATTTGCATTGACGGGTAAAAGTCAGGTAGCAGCTCGTAGCAGCCAGGGATCTTTACCAAAGGCTCGAGCATGGATTTTGCTTCTTGGAACAGATGCCATATTGTCTGAGGGAAAGTGAAATATTTCTACGTCAGAAGGAGGCTCGCTGGATGCCCGTGTAACTCAGAGGCGATTTTTTAACATTAGTTATTTTGGATGCTTTCTTGAGACTCGAGATGATCGTAGAGCAACGTCTCACTTTTGTTTGTTAAATACAGGAGCGCTTAATGTATAATGCGCACGTGCGATTTGCAAACCACTTGAAATGCATAGCTCGGACCGGTCGTTGCAGCCTCCACCCCCTCCCCAACCCAACCACAGTCGCTTTATCTGCCTTGTTTAGACTTCGTGGCGAAGGGCAAAAAAAAAAAATAATAATAATAATAATAATAATAATACACGCGAGGCTTACTTGTGGACATGCACCAGGGCATATCTAACGTCTCGATTAACTTCTTGTGTTACAGCGAAGTCAGCATATCGTCGGCCCGGGCCTCGGTGATGGTTTACGATGACGTAAACAAAAAATGGGTGCCCTCGGGCAGCTCCTCCGGACTATCGAAAGTCCAGCTGTACCATCACCAAGTGAACAACACGTTTCGCGTCGTAGGACGCAAGCTCCAAGATCACGAAATCGTCATGAATTGCGCGATCCTGCGTGGCCTCAAGTACAATCAGGCGACCGTCACCTTCCACCAGTGGCGCGACAACAAGCAAATCTATGGCTTGAATTTCTCGAGCAAGGACGATGCAGACGCTTTCGCCAAGGCGATGCTGCAGGCTCTCGACGTAAGTATGGCCCTCGTCTTAGCGGGCCGGCATTCACTCGACTTCGCGCTTCGACTCGTTGGAAAATTTGATGGTTAGCTCGAGCGTGAGATGAATATTAATGGAGTTCCTTTCGCGAGAGTCGAAAGAGAGTAGAGTCGCTGTTTAACAGGATATTCACATTACTCGTTATTTCTCGATCATGGATTTGAAAATTTATGCGGACATTCGTAATTACTTATCTCGCTTATTTGCCGTGGAGAATATAGATTACCCAGTCGCTAAACATGACCAACTTCATCCATATGCATACTTTCCTTAATTATTACATTGTTCAAGTTAGAAAAGCATCAAACTTAACCTTATTATTTTTTTTTTTTTTTTTTTTTGCACGTTCTATATTTTATTTATATTTTAACATCGCGTACGGGGCATAATTTTATTTTCAGTTTATTAGTTGAGCAGAATCGTAGTGGTAGATACTTACTTATACACACATTTTATATATAAAGTAAGTTGATGGGAGAATAACTTATAAATTTCGTAAAATCACTCTTTAATATAAAATTGCATTAATTAATTGATATGTAAAATAGATCGTTTTAATTGTAATACTTCTTCTAATTATTTACATTTATCGTTTACTTTTCCTAATTTTTCCAAATGAAATTGATTCATTTATTTCTAACGGTATAGTTGATTACCTTGGATTGGTAATTATAAAAAAAATATTCAAAAGTTCAAAATACAAATAAAATTTCCAAGTATTTGCAGAATAAATATACGAGTGTATCAGTGAATGATTTAGCCTTGACTCATTGTAAATTCTTTGCATTAGTACGAATCATACGTTTTCTCTTTTTTTTCTTGTATTTGTAGTTTCTTGCATTTTTGAATTAAGACTATTATTATAAAAGCCTAACGAGTATAAAAGTTTTAAAAAATTCTTCCTTTTTTTTTTGTTCATGTTTTCAGAGTTCGTTCATAAATTTTCTGCAAGAACATTCATCTTTAAAAATATATAGCAATGAAACCATCGATTAAAAATGTTTTAATTAGTAGAACGGAAATACAATATTCAAAGAAAAATGAAAGGCATGTAGAGTAATATTAAAGTTATGAAAATACATAGTGTAAACGTGTAAAATAATGCATATATTAATTATGCACGTTGAATGATCATTTTCACGATCATTTAAAAGTAATTATTATTTTTAATTTTTATAAATAATTTTTTTTTTTTGTGACAATTCAATGGAACGCAACTTTCTTAGGATATTGCATAAAATGGATAAAGCACGTATTCACGATCTGCCATATGTATAAACTTTTCCTTTCTTATTACGAGAGAATCGAAAAATTAAAGATAATCTCTTGTCCGTGATCCCAAACCTAACAAGCTCGTTAAAATTACTCCATCTCTTTATTTTTGACATTTAAAGAGAAGCCCCTACTACTCCCATCGTTCAATTATTTCATAAAAAATACCTCGCATTTTGCCTTGTCATAAAAAATCGCAAAAATCTCTCAGCCAGATCACGTTATTCGCATTAGCGTACAAACACTTCGGTCAAATTGAATTTACGATTTGACTAACATCGGCCTACTAATACGAACTAATTAACGTGTTTATTGCACAGGTTCTGAGTAATGGTACGAACATATCGAGGATTCTTGGACCATCGGTGCAGGCTGCCACTCAACAGCAACAGCAGCCACAACAAATGCCTATTTATCAGCAGCAACAACTTGCGCAACAACAGCAACAGCAGCAACCGAACGCTCAGTACGAGGAGGATATGGGATATAGGTGAGTAATTTTTTGCGGAAATACAATCGCTCGAATGGTTAAATGAAGGCAAATGAGATGTTCCGTTACTATACCTTGGTTGCACGAATGTTGTTGAGACTGAGCAGAAAGAAATTAAAATATCTAAATGAGACGCATATGCTAATAAAAAACACATTTCTTGTCCGCTTTGGAATGCTTAAGGTGCATGATTATATTTCGAGCGTACATGTTTTTCAGCCACAAAAGCAATTTTGTTAACCATTATTTGTACCTGATAATATATTTTATAGTACCTAGTAGTATATTGCAAATCTGTTTAACATTTGGAGGCTGATTTAAGTAAGCTATCGTATTGTAATATAAAAAGTAGATGATAAATAAAATATTTTTAGATTCTCATTGATCCAATCTTCCGCAACTATGAATTTATTGTTAAATTTTCTTTTAGTTATAAACTGAATTGGATTACACATTTGTGACTAATGCATATGTTTTTAGAAATATAACATTAGTTTATACATCTGGATACGTTCGTCTTATAATATTTTTAGTGTTAATTTAATTATTATATCGAATAGTTTTCATACTTCACCAACGTTTTTTAATAATAAAATGCTGCCACTATATATCCATTTGCATTACACGTATTTAAACAATTTGATGCGTAATATGGTAAAATTAAAAACTAATTTTCCATAATAATTAATATTTACAATAATTTTCGTTATAAATTGTTGAACATTTGTATACATTAAACAAAATATAAGATTTCAGCTTTGTTTTATTATACATATCACACACACACACACACACACACACACACACCCACACACACGCGCAATCATGCGCGCGCACAGAGCAGAGAGATAGAGAAGGAATTTAAGTATTTATGTATATTTATGCTTGATATTTGAATCTATTGTTATGGTTTTATTGTTTACTTTCTTTTTTTAATCAAAGAATTTATTATAATTTAACGACCAATGTTTAGAAATATATAGATAATTTTTTTACAGAACTATGACCAGAGAAGATGTCGCTATAATGCAGGAACGAAGAATGTCCCAACAAAATCAAGGTATGTAATATCTAGTATTAATTAACCCAATCTCAAAAATATATTAAGATTTATATAAAAAATTCTAAGCCGTCGGAATTTTTAACATTATCAATTATCATCTATAACTTTACCTATATATATATACTTCATACATATAATGATTATAAAGATTTTATTTCAATATATTGATTATTAGTAAGTATCTCATTTTTAAATACTAACGAATAAAATTATTATATTCTGCACAGTTAAAATAAAGAGAAATGTGAAATAATTTGTAAGAAAGTAGCGAAGTTTGTTATTCGTTAGTACGTATAAGAAGAAATATTGAAATGCCTTAATAACAATATTTGTATTTTGTAGTTTGAATGATACATGTTTTATATTCTAAAAAATTATATTAGTGATATTCAAATCTTTTTTGCGTAAAAATAAATTATTAGCATTAGAATTAGGTGCTTGGCTGTTTAATTCGAATTTTTCTAATACAAGAATTTAAATCGACTCTAATGGACAATTATTTTGATCGATTCATATTAGCTGAAATACCGTTATTAGCTTATTGACATTGACAAGATACATTATCAACAAGCTTACATTACGCGCCTTATCGATAATTTCGATAGTCATTCTTCAATAGTAACACTTTCGGTTTTTCAGTCAGCAACAGTTTGAATGCTATATCGCCAATTTGTCCATCGAACACCCTAACTCAACAGCAGCAACAGCAACAACAACAACAACAGCAACAGCAACAGCAACAACAACAGTCCGGTCACCATAGAACATCGTCAGCGCCTCCAGCCCCAGCGCCCCAGGGACAGGTTACGTTACAGCAACAGTTGCCGATGCAACAACAACAGCAGCAACCACAATCCCAACCACAACAGCAGCAGCAGCAACAGCAGCAACAGCAACAACAACTACCACAACAACCACAGCAATCACAACAGCCACAGCAACCACAACCACAACAACAACAACAACAACAACAACAACAACAACAATTACCACAACAACAGCAGCTGCAGCAGCTACAGATGCCTCCAGTGCCGCCACCACAACCTTCGATAGCCCCACCCGCGCCACCTTGTCCACCTTTAATGATGAACTTTCCCGGAGCAATCGCACAGCAATATGGTCAATCGACACAGAGCCAGCAGTCGCCTTCCGGAGCGATCACCACGGTATATGGGACTCCGAGTATCGGGCAACCGCAAGCCCCGTACCCGGTGCAGCAATACGGGTCTGGAAGTCAGTATGGAAGCCGAGCTTCTCTCAACAGCCAGTACGCGCCGTTGCCAAGCGGTGGCCAATACGTCAGCCAAGGCCCCTATGGGCCCGTCGTTTCCCAACAGCCGCTTCCGCAATCCCAGCAGCCTATCGTCGCCGTGATCAATCCCTACGAGACGCCGGTAAACGGTCTCAATCAGCCGTATGCACATCCACCGATGATGGGACCGCAGCCTGATGGCGGTAGTCCTGGCCTCCAGGCTCCAGTGCCCCCACCGCCCCCGCCTATGGGGCCTGCTCTTCAAGTTGCCCCGCCACCCCCGCCACCACCGCCGACGCTCTGCGGGAGCAACGGATTTGGTGGTCAGGATAGTGGCCCGCCGCCAGCGCCCGACGTCAACTCGTTGGCTGCGGCGCTGCAAGCCGCCAAACTTAAGAAGAAGCAGGTGGGTTTTTTTTAGCGCCCTTCCAACAATATCAACTCGTAAATCATCTTGGGCTTCTTGATACCCCGCGAGCACCCGTGCGCTGAATCATGAAATAAATATCCCCGACGTAGGCATCAACACTTTTCTGGTTTCTCTTCGTCGATGCACTTTGTTGCTTTCTCCGTTACCTTTACGGTTGATTGCTATTGCCTCTTAATACAAGCTTAATACTCAAATTTTACGGGGCAGAGTAAAGAAAGTTTAAATCAACCATTAATTGAATATATTGACAAATTGTCTGTGGTACATAGAACGATGTAAATTTAATGTCTTTTAGTAGCGCAAAGGCCTAAAAATGGTAATTTTTTATTTGGAAAATTTTGGAAAAAAGGATGAGTTGTAAAAACAAGGAAATGTCATTTTCTAGATAAATGAATTAACGATCTTTTAATTTATTTATGACATATAAGGTTTTCAAGAATTTATAAAAACAACTATATAGTCGTAGTCGTAAAAGAGTATAGTAGGCGGACTGAAAATATACAATTTCACATATTATTATTTTAACAAAATAATGACACACTAAGCGTTGGATAATAATTAGTGCAGAACAATTCGATTAAAAGTTAATTTGCCAAAATGATGTAATAACTTTTGAGGCTTAGGGAGTAATAATTGATCAATTCATATGATATTAAAACATCATTATTTAAAATGCAATGCACGCGTTTACCGATCAGATGGATTTGCTTCTGTTATTTATATTTACAAAATTAGTTCCCATAAAGTAACGAGTGCTCTATAAATTATATATTATATAATAATTGATTATTTTGTTGACAATCAGTGGTAATTTATAGCTGGCAATTAACGAGATTTCCGTACTATAGATTGAAACTTGATAATTCAGAAATTTATAAATTTTCAATTACTTCGCACGTGAAATACTTTATTCGATTTAACATGATATTTAGCATTTAACGGAACATTCACCTTACAAAACATAATAATGAATACTTATAAAAATATTGAATTAGTTTCGCGAAGATGAAACTACTCGCCGAAAATTAATGCAAAAACATACAACGCCTTATACGAGATTTTATAAAAATGCTGCATACCGTTTATCATAAATCTACTATAATTAAATTATTATAAGTAAATATTCTAATGAATTATAAATAACGTAAATTCCCAACAGTTTTTCCATCGGCTTTAATAGCTCTGCCTTATTTAAGAGTCACGTGTAGTAACGCTTTCATTGCCTCCTCCCCCATTTCCATTAGTTATGCTGCAAACTCTGACCCGACAAAATTCCCAACAACAATTCCTTACATCATCGCCTACGTCGTCTACATCGCCTACATCGGCCTTTCTTTGCGAATACCACAGGCACTAGTCGCCTACGGAAGATGCGAGAGTAAACAAAAAAAACTTTGTTTGTCAAACAGCAGTCGCAACCGATCGAAAATAGTGGCTCTAGCACAAGCAGCAGCGGAAGTGGAAATTACGGTACCCTCGGTCGTAATAGTGGTGGCGGAGGTGGTGACAATGCAGCTGGCAGTGCTGGCTTACCCGCCATGATGGTCGAGATGGCCAAGACGTTGGCCCGTAGACGAGCTGCCGTCGAGAAAAAGCAGCCCGATCAGCCTCCCGTAAGTGCTTCAATCGTTCGGCCAGCGCCTAAATAATCTAGGATTCGTGGAAAATGCTTCTTAGGCATTTATTCCCAGGAATTTAATAATTGTTCTACGATTATATTGTTTTTGTTTTTTGTTTTTCGTTGTTGTTTTCGTTTCTTTTTTTTCTTTGACGCTTAATTTTATTGTATTAGGAGCCTGAAAGTTCACCGGATAAGAAGTCGTGGGATAAGAGCAATTCCTCGATATCAAACAGCGCTAGCAATAATAAATTCTCGAATGGGGCCGAGTCGCCGAAAGCTCATCGTAAAAGGTTCGGCTCTGCATCCGAAGATACTTTACTCAAAGTTAATGGTGTCAACGAGGGCTCGACGATTTCCGCACAAGAATTGGAAACTTTCAAAGTGGAGCTCATGAAAGATGTACGGAAAGAGTTTCAGAAAATCAAACAAGAAATAATCGAAGGTACCATTCTTTATTTGATTACTTATTTTTAACATACATTTCTATACATTTTATATATTTGTAATACAATTATTTAATACATTAAATATATATTTGAAATAGTTATTGTAATTGCGTGAATGAAAGATTGTATTTGATCTTTACTTGGCTGCAAGAAATATTAACTCGTTAAATAAAGTAATTTGACGTTAGAGTAGGGAATAATATTCTGTGTGGAATAGCGGTCAAAGTATCATGACCTCGTAATATCTGATAATTCAATTTAATCTAATAATTCAAAAATATAAAAATCTTGTCTCTCAACTTGTTGCCAATAGCTTGCTCCGAATCCTTAATTAAATTAATTTGCTATACTTAAGTACGGGCAAAAGTCAATGACTGATTTATTTAAAAAAAAAAAAAAAAAAAAAAAAAAAAAAAAATAATAATATTTTCGTTAATGTTTACTTTTAGCTGTAAGAAGTGAACTGAATAGAAGATAAAGACAAGAGGAACGTTAATGCAGCGGACTGACATGATATGATACGAGCTAACCAACGACAGAGTAAACGAGAAATTTCACTAGATAGCTCAATTAAAGTATCATCTATAAGCCCATTTGTGTGTAAGCAGGTTTTTATTATGCGAGTTACAATTGCGAGTACAGTGTAGGCTATATATCCATGTATATCAACCACTTTCTGTGTAAGTACGTTAATCTAACTTGATATATAGTACTACGAAAGAAACGGACGCGGGCTCGTTGTATTTAAGGTAATTAAAATAAATCATCGTTGTCTTGAGATACGGATTTTCGACGAAGAGAGAGAGAGAGAGAGAGAGAGAGAGAGAGATAGGATTTCGAATTTCTTGAATTAAACGATTTATTTAATTCATTATTTATTAGATAAAATTATCAATACTACACATTATTATTATTAATATACCAATAATATAAAAACAGGATTTTTGTAACATCTACAGATATTGGTGTTTGAAGCTCTTTGAACTTTGGAATTCGCATCTCGTGTGATTTAGTTTGGTTAAATCAGTAAGCGCACAAAAAATTCGAAAAACGCACAATTTTATAGCGGAGGTGAAATTTTGATGTAATCGAAGCTTTTTTATGTTTATATGTAGAGAAAGACGATGCGAAACGACTAATCTCGATTACTGTCGCAATTTGCGACTTTTACACAATTTTAAGATTATCAATTGTAGATTCATGTCTTAAGATTATCATTCAAAATGTTTCAAAATTTTTTAAACTAAATAATTCGCGGTAAAACAAAAATCAAATTTTTATAAATATTTATAATATATGCCCACAATTTTTTAAAATCTAAATGGAACATTTACTTCTAAAACATTATCCAAGTTTTCCTAAGAAACATGAATTTTTGTACAACAATCATCAATGCTGTTTTAGAAAATATTTCGATCAAATTATTATATACGTAATCTGTTACGCCTTTTACAAATATTCGTGCTTCATCGTAGATTTTGAATGGTAAATTTTAGGATTTTCTAAAGAAAAATAATCTAACGGGTTCTCAAATGTGATTCATCGGCTTTCAAAAGCCTTTCTTGTAAGATTAAACCTATCCTATTTGTAAACTTGTACAGGAATTTTTAACTGTTTTTTATTGGCAAACTCGTGACGCTCATAAACATTCCGCACATTGAAATTTTATTGGTCGATAATGATGATTCAAGTGAGCTAGATAACATATTTTATGTATGCATTACATACCGTAGTTAGAAGATGGTAAATCTACATTTTAATGAAGATTTTTTTTTTTGTTTTTTGTTTTTTTAATGAAATGTTTAAATTAGTCCAAAACCAGTGAATACGATTGCATTCTATAGTCGAAAGTACAATGTCATTTTGCAATTAACCATTGTTATTATTTTAAGGATCGACGTATTTTTAATGGATTTTATCGATTTCTCATCAATAGTAAAAGAAAAATGAAGAGAAAAATTAACAAAACAATTTAATGTGCTTTTTAATAATTAAAAATTAAGTAAATATTGATATATAGGGAACCATAATGCGTCGAGATGGTACCAATATTCGATAACCTTTTTTATATAAAAGAATCAACTGACGTGTGATTCGTGTAATTTTCGTAAAAATTTGTATATTTATCGTAAAAATGAAAAAAAAAATTTAAGAAAAAAAAAGTATATACGAAATTGAATTTTAAAAAATCGCAACTCGCCCGATATGAACGAAAAAAAACCATAATAATAATAATAATAATAATAATAATAATAATAATAATAATAATAATAATAATAAGATGATTCTTAGCGATCAGTTTTTATTTCAATACAGAGAAAAATTAATAATGCTTTATGTAATATTAATGATCGATCTGTCGATTCGTCATTTTAAAATTGATAACGCGGTGGCACTTAAGCTTCGTGAACCGTGTTCAGTGCGCAGTACCGCCATTTTTTCTTAACTTTACGAAAGCATTTTATCATCCGGTAGGAAAGCGAGCATTGACTGATGCGGATGGCAATGCTAAAACTCACTTCCTATCGCTGGACTTTCCACTCGCGCACAAAAGTTACGAGCAAAACTTACCCAATGCCAATTGTATAATCCGAAACATTTAACGAATGTTGTCGATTTGCAAATAATAATAATGGCTATTTTTCGTCACCACCCCCTGTACGAGCTTAAATAACTCGGCAAACCTTACATCTTCTTCTTCATATTTTATGCGTGTGCATAAAATACGTCTTGATACGGTGATTGCGTTTCCGAAGTATGCAATTATTTTATTGCACGCGTGTGCTTTTGAATGCCTCAAGTTGACGATTTAATGAGCTAGTAATTTTTTAGCATGAATGGTCGTGCGGATAAATTCCTTTATGATCGATCGTTTGGCTGCTGCTACCACAGTTGAATAAAAAAGGGACGAGTAGCCAATTGACAATCTCGTTCCAAATGTCTTAGTATGAATATTTATAAAAATAAACAAAAAGAAATAAAATTCGATCGCTTAAAATAAATTCAAATGTTAAATCCGTGACCGTAGACCACGAACAGTGAATTTCAATTTTTTAGAAGACGAGTGACCAATTAAGTATTTTGTATCGCAAAAATTTTCCGAAATATCACGGAAATTTTCTGAATGAACGTCGCGTTGTCTTTGAGAGCTTATTTTCGACCTTCCACCGACTTGTAATGTAATCAATTGTTGCAAAGTGGAATTTGTTTATTCTTTTTTTTCTTTTCTTTTTGTTTGCATTTCACATAAAGCAGAATTTTTTAACTTTTGCTGATTTTAACCAATTAAAGATAGTATTATTTGCATTTTTGTAAGACAATGTGTGAGCAGTAAGAAGTCGAAAATTCACTTTGTAGCAGTTTTCATTAATGGAGGATATTCATACCAGGATGGCAAATTTTCTAGTCTAGACACGACGAACAACTGTGTACGAACTGTCCTCGGTGGAAATCGATGAGGCGTCTGATAATTACTGATTTAAATGTAGTTTTATAATGAATAAGGACAAAAAGAAGTGCAAAATACTTTGAAATAAAGTATGTGAGAGCGAGAGAGAGAGAGAGAGAGAGAGAGAGAAAATTAACTATACAATGTCATTAAATTTAGAAAACAGTCGAACATTAAGACATTGTAAGCAAGATACGGACGAAAGAAAAAATGATTTATCGAATCATTTTTAATACTTTTTATATATTTATATGAATTCTATAAATTAAATACGACACGTTTTAACGCTTTCGTGCTTTTCTTTTGCATTGTGTATGAGTGATGAAATATGATTTATTTCTCTTCAAGATGAAAACAATGAACGAAATGAATCAAATTTGTACTTGGCTAATTATCAGTGATTTGTATCACTGAACAATATTTGAAAATATCGTTTTTCTTCTTCCTTTCCCTTGTGAATTAATATTTGTCAATTCTTCTTATAGCGCCAATCCCTGCGTATAATTCTTATTAACTCCATGCTCAATATGTCCTTTTGTAAATATGATTCTTTGTCGGCTCTTCCAGTACAATATATTTATTTTTGACTAATATTTACAAGTTGATAAGCTGACGCACTGTAAATTTCCAATCAGCCAATCTTCGAGTTTTCCCATATTTTTTCCCATGCATTTCATTAAATTTTTTAAAAGCCTTCTCAAAATTGTCATTATGATATTTATTATTAATGATATAAAAGAATAATAATAAATAAATAAACGTACGTATAATGACAAAATTAATGACGTAGACGTCGTTGGGGAAAAGGATGATTGACTGAACATTTGCATCTCGCTAAACTTTGAAAACAGATAAACAATAATAAATAAATACCGAACAAAATAACATTAATAATAGTAATAATAATAAATAAATAAATAATAATAATAAATAATAATTATAATGATAATGATAATAGTAATAACAATAACAATAATAATATTAAATAAAGCAAGAACCACATGCTGGCAAATTTAGTATTAAATAGCTGCATTTATACAGTATATGATTATAAAGAAATGAGTAAGGTTTCTAGACTTTAAGTAGATTATAATTTCGATGGACCTAAACAAAGTGATGAATATTCTGGATGTTACAAATATGTTTGTCTCTTATTTTTCGTATTAATTAATTTTGTTTGCACACGCATGTATTTGTGTGCATTCGATTATACATGTACACGCATACAAAAGATATTTGTAGCCCAACAACGCGTTGGATACTTATCTTTATCTGTATTACTATTAACAAATATGTATAATCTCAATCGACATGTTCAAATAATTATTTGGCTCCGTCGAAGAAAGCATCGATGTTGGTACATTGAACAATTCACAAGTACATACACTTAAACATAGCGAAATATTCCCCGATGAAAGTTTTTATGAGAATAATACGGTGATGCTAAACACGACCGAGAGCGAGAGAGAGAGAGAGAGAGAGAGAGAGAGAGTGAGTTAGCGAGCAAACGTTCAGACGTGGACCGAGATTCTGCGTGTCTGTGAATAACGATTTTTTCGAACAGTATTACCAAAGAATTTTATTTTTTTGACCATTGATATAACGAATTTTCCTAGCTTGTTAAATGTTATTCGTACGATACGCAGTGTAAAGGTAAATTTTCGTACTCCTAGTTTCAACTACGTACAACGTAAATTCATCATCATATAATGGATTCGAAGTTTTATCGTTGATGTTTTATAATTATATCATCAATAATAATTGCCTCTTGATTAAATTATCCGTGCAATCTATATAAAATAATCAGTTGCTTCAACAATATTTTATTTTTCATTTAACTTTAATCTCAAATTGGACATAATTACCATTTCATGTCAACAAATGTTTTTTTAGATAAAGCGGATATTCAATTTTTGACGACGAATTTACATTTAGCATAATTGACAATTTAAATAAAAACATAAAAATTTACCCGATTAAAAAAAAAACTCTTATTTAAAAAATAGAAAAAAAAAACTTTTTAACATAAACGCGCGTACATGTTTGTTTGTTTGTTTGTTTATTTATTGTATACATGGAAGACCTACACAATTTCTTCGGTCCTTAAACATTAATGTCTGAAAATTTCTGAATATAATTATATCCAGGCAGGAAGATTTAAAAACGGAAGTTGCGCGTGTCTTGGACTAATATTTCATCGTTTTGATATGTGAATATGAAAATGTAAAAAGAGTAAGTTTTTAATCCATGTTCTGTGTCCCCGTATGTCCACGTTTGAAACGTTGCCTCTCAATGAAAGCCAAGTTGTGAAATGTACTTCGTAAATCAACGAGTTGAGTTGCACGAGTTGAGTAACAACAGTGTTATTACTCGATTTG